ACTGAGAGAACTGTTAGGATATGGTTATGCAAAGAGTTGTGAACACATGTACTAAATAAAGACAAAGTATTATTATCCATCAGCATAATTAACTCATCCATGTGCAGGAAAGATGTACAGAATCCATGCTGACATGGTAACTTTTTCACACTGTTTCTCACAGCCAAAATAACTGTGATGTTAAATGCATGCATTTAATGTATATTTGTTTCGTTTGACAGGCCCTGCAGAGGGAAGGCAGCAGAATCCGCACCACAGCATGGAAGAGAAAGGTGTTTATTTGGTTCTGAACACCAACCCTCAGAACAACCCACAGCCCCTATTCCTAGTTCTAGGAGCATAGCATCTGTGGACACCATTTCCTCTGAGAGAGTCTGCTCTCAGACTGTCACAACCCAGTTTGCATTGCACTGAGTGAACAAGAAGCTTCCATAAAGCGCTGTTTCCTAGACCAAATAAGCTAACCAATCAACATCTGAGATCTTAATTTCAGAATCCTTTCCCTGTGTTACAGTACAAATGGAAACCAGTTCAGGATATGACTGTCAACATGACAGACAGAGAGCATAAACATATGCTGCAAACTGGTACAGGGCCTTGTAAAAGTCCCATCTGCCTTTAGAAAAGATTTGACAGGCCTACCATCAAGAACCCAATTTATCAACAACTTAGTGCATTATTTTGTTGACATGCCCCTGCCATCTGAAGTTTCATCAGCTTGCTAACAGTTACTTCCACAAAACCTATGCATGGTATCATACATTAATGTACAGTATTATCCTAATTAATTTCAAATCCACATTAGCATAATATTTTTACGTGGCTAAGAAAAGTGCATAAAATATGTACAATTTATCAAGAGATCTTCCTCACTGAAGGGGTTATATACCAACAGGTCGTGGTGGTAGGAAGAGAGAGAAGCCTGACATATTTCCATGGTCTGAATTTCAACTAGAAATAGTGGGGAGAGGTCTGTGGACATTTGAACAAGTCTTTAGCAGATTATGTGATGGTGTTACGTTTCAGTAATTCCCAAGAATGTTGGGAGCAAGAAAGACAGAAATATTTGATCCTCATTTTTGAAAAAAATATAAAGCAGCTGTAAATTCACGATTGTGTCCTGTGTAAAGCACAGCAACCCATTTATCAATGGAAAAGAGAGGAGAGGGAACGGAATAGCTGTCTGGGATACACTATGCAGTACTTGTTGAACTCAAACAAGAACATATTAACTATGTTTTGGAAAATATTCATATTTATGTTACTTTCTTGCCGCCCACCACTCCCCCCCAGTTATTATTAGCATCATGCTCTTCTGTCTGATCTCCACTAGCTGCTTCACACATACTTAGTACAGTATTCTACCAATGGTGTCCCACAGACAATAATACAGAAACTACAAAGTGTAAACAAAATGCACAGTAAGCCACAGGTACACACCACAGCTGTATCTCATCCTTCCACTAAGAAGCTTATGCCAGTAGATACATACTCATTCCATTTTATTCCTACAGTCCCATAGGGTAAATTAGACGGGAACACTTTCACAGGGCCACCTACTGCACATCTTGGCTAAGCAGGACTTGAAACTACCACACAGTGGTAACTCTCAGCTGATCACAGTTCTTTGTAACATTCTTCCTTTCACAATTCAGAAAGTTTACCATAATGAATCCTAGTGTTAACTGATCAGTCATAAAGTGTAGTGTCTCCAGAAACTAAATCAAGATGTAATCTGTGATTATTAAGAATTTACATTTCTATATAAATGTATAGCCCAAAGCAACCTTTGTAACCCACACACCACATACAATCCAGATTTCCATGAATGTCTTCCTGCCAGTTTTGTGTATTTTAATTGCTCCCTGAAGAATAACATTAATTTCTAAACTTAAGAGGTGCTTACTATATTCATAAATACATCTAGCACTACTTTGTTTTTCAAATTATACCCTTACTTGACCTACACAGCCATTGCAATAATAGTCAATGCCCCATCGACTAGGGCACTCAGTTTCTCTAAAGTATCCCAAAAAAGGTTCCCTGCATGTTGGCAGCAAGGCCAATAGATTCCTAGACTCTGCATCCCAGAACATGCCACAGAATCCTCTCTGATTCACAGAGGTTCTAGGACCTCCACACTGCCATTCACCAGCAATCAAAATACATAAGGAAATAAATCATAGAAGGTAAAAACTTTGGAAAGCACTAGCCAAAGCAAAGCTGTTCTGATTCATCTAGAACAGTGGTTCTTAACCTTTTTGCAAGAACCGCCCCCTTGAGCCATTGAGGAAGTTGTCATTGCCCCCCTCCTTGAGGTGATGATATCCTACCTTCCTTCCTTCCTACCTACCTACCTAGTCTCCCTCCCCACCCAGGTGCGAGGCAGCGCTTCACGGGGCGAGGATGAGGACCCAAGAGACCCTTTCCTTCCGCTCGATCCACACTCAGTGCTCCCCTAAAGGAGAGAGGCGAGACGTGGCAGGTAGAAAGAGCTGGATCATCTGGCGGCGGCAGCAGCACCAGATCTACTGCCAGCACTGTGGCTGCAGTCGCCTTCACAGGTTTGGCTCGCTCCAGCGCCCCCTACCGCTCCCTTTTGTTCTATCGCCCCCGACACCGCCCCTTTTTGTTCTACTGGCCCCCTGAAAAATGAAATCGCCCCCTGGGGGGCATTATTGCCCACGTTAAGAACCACTGATCTAGAATCTAGATCTATGTTGTATATGACAGCCATCTTTAGGAGAAACCTTTTTTTGTTTTCAAACAACATTCAAGTTATTTCTGCAGAATCTTCATGGCTCTCCTTAAACGCTACCCATCTTTAGCAACCTCCCCATTGCACCTCAAACTAGCAACCATCCTAGTGTGAAACATGCCTAGTTTAGTATTAATCATTCTCTACATGCTTTTTGGAAATCTGCTTGTTATATTACTCTTTTGATATCACACTCCTTTCCTCCACTCTCAAATGAGTACTTTAACAGATGATTAGATTATGAAGGCACCAATGGTACCACCAATATTTTTTCCATAAAGTTTCCTGAACACCAGCCGACAGCAGAGAGAATTGGCAGTACGGTGCAATTATTATTATATTGCTTTCAGTTCCAGAAGATAATCACAGTCCAGCATCAGAGGCTGAATGAAAACCCCATTCATTATTTATACAGGCAAGCATGTCAGCATAACCAGAAATGTTAAAGCATGACATCATCTACAATTAAGGGACCCATAAATTGTCTTGTAAAACTGCATAATCCAAAAGGACAGTCGCACAGCCAATAGCTCCCCAACCAAACACATTTGCTTTAGATCAATGGTTCCCAACCTTTTTTAAACTCACGTCCTCCTTTTATAATAGCCAAGTAACCTATGACACCCTGCCACGTTTGCATAAAAAGATATTTGTAATGTGGTAACTTCATCTCTTCTCAGAAGGCAGAGGCTTCTCCCCCCCCCCCAGGGCCTGTTACTCACACATCATATGCACTAACTTAGCCGCCTAGAGTGGTCCTCACCAATCAGATAGGCGGGGTATAAATTAAATTAAATTAAATTAAATTAAATTAAATTAAATTAAATTAAATTAAATTAAATTAAATTAAATTAAATTAAATTAAATTAAATTAAATTAAATAAATAAATAAATTAATTAACCCCCAGGGCCTGTTACTCACACATCATATGCACTAACTTAGCCGCCTAGAGTGGTCCTCACCAATCAGATAGGCGGGGTATAAATTAAATTAAATTAAATTAAATTAAATTAAATTAAATTAAATTAAATTAAATTAAATTAAATTAAATTAAATTAAATTAAATTAAATTAAATTAAATAAATAAATAAATTAATTAAATATCCCATTCTGTAAGGTTAAGGAAGAAATTATTTAACAAGGGCCACAACACATATAAAGTAACCTGCGACCTCCCAAAACATTTTACAACTCCCACGCTGGGAAACACTGCTTTAAATTAATAATCTTCCCCATGTTAACACTGTTTTCATAGCCAGCATTCTTCATTAGTGCTTCACCATGAGGGCTTGAAAAATGGACTCGTGCGACAAGTGAAAAATGCTGCTTGGTAAGTCACAGCTCCCTCCCTGCCTTTCTCCTTCCCCTCCACCTGTATACAGTATCTCTCTCTCTCTATAATTCTGCAGTCATCCCCTCCCCCTCCCATTGCAAAAGGAAAACTGCCCTCTTCTCACAAGAAGGGAGTTTGAGCAGCACATAGAGATATAGCTCTGTAGGAGAATGTAGAGTAATCCCATGCTGGAGAATATGGAGATTCCCTGCTACCAATTTCAAACGAACGAGGACACATCCTGGGGTAAAAGGGAACTGTGTCTCCTTAAGAAGCCAGGTGCTTATGCTTTCAGTTTTATTTTTGCTGGAGACATTCAAAAGAAAGGCATTCAAAATGCAAGCTTCATGACCCCACAGGCATGCAGGTAATAAAGCAACCCAAGTCTGAGGGTAGATGAACCACCATGGGGGTAGGTTTCTTGTTCTTCTGAAGCTCCTTAAAACTGCCTCTGTTCTACCAGTTTCTACAGTTAGCTGTGAAGGGGGTTTCAGCCAGATGAATCTGATCAAAAATAAATTCAGATCGTGTTTAGAAACTGAAAGCTTAGATGACCTTATGATGGTGAATCTAAATGGACCTCCACTATCACAGCTTAACCTTACTAAAGCCATACATGGTACTTCAGTGCTAAAACTACCAGGCATGTTCAAGGACACAAGTGCATTTTCTACTAAGGAGACATAGACAAATACCATGTACACAATACAATTTATTTTGGATTTGTATGCATTGTTACATAGAAATAAAAGTAAACAAGTGCCTAGTTTAAATTTGTTAAGATAACTTGCAAGGCTATAGTCCAATCATGGTGACTGGTGAAAATTTGACTGACCAGTGAGACATTCTAAAATTTTGCAAACCCTATCCATCATTTACATGTGTAGCATGGAGTCACTAGTTCTTGCCTGTTTACTGGTGTGCAGTTCTTTGGAGATGAGAGAAGAATGGCAATTAACCTGAAATAGAGCAAACAGGATTTTGTAGCTTGTTCATATGTTGTCCTGAGCCAATAAAACTTTGATCTTTCCTATACTGTGGGGTAGGAACTGGAGAAATATGAGAAATGGAGGGGATATGTCCATGCTGCAACTCTTCCCTTTGCTACAATTAACCTCTCGGAAAGTAATACTGGAACAGGGAGAATCCACTGCATAGGCCTTCTCCCACCACTAAGCAATAAGTGCTGTAACAGCTGCCATGGGCTAGCAACAAATAAATAAGTACAGTGGTGCCTCGCATAGCGACGATAATTCATGCAGCAAAAATCGCTGCAAAGCGATTTCGTCGCTATGCAAAATAAAAAAGCCCATAGGAATGCATTAAAACCTGTTTAATGTGTTCCTATGGGGTAAAAACTTACCTTTAAGCGAAAATCTTCCATACGGCGGCCATTTTGGGTGCCCGGTAAGCGAGGAATCCGTCCCTAAACACAGCGGGCGGCCATGGTTTTTTACCCAGCGGCCATTTGGGAACCGCTGATCAGCTGTTTTAAAATCACCGTTTTGTGATGATTGGTAAGCGAGGCAGGGTACCGATCATCGCAAAGCAAAAAAAACCAATTCAGACCATCGCAAAGCGATCACAAAATCCTCATCGCTATGCGATTTCGTCATTAAACGGGGCACCCGTTAAGCGAGGCACCACTGTACTTGAATGAAGCCCTTCAATTTTGGACCTGACAATTGTAGCCAATATCAATATCATTAGGTCCCAAACTGAAGGGTCTCCTGGTTTTAGCTCCCCCCCCCCTGTATTTTTCTCTCTGCTTTTATCTGGAAGGTACAAATTATTTTATGCTGCTGCTACTACAGGAACTATCAGTCTTGATAGCTCTGTATGCCTAACCTGCCTTTTAAAGAATGCACAAGTCAGTGGAGATCCCTCCATCAAACTGCTGTTGTCATTGCTATCTCAGGAACACCTAAAAATGCCTGAAGCTTCCCAAACCACAATTAAAGAACTATTATATTAACCAAAATCTGTTAGTAAAGAGTAAAAGCTTTAAAAACCATGCAGCCAACAGTGGGACAGCTTCAAGAAACTATGGCAGAAGTTTCTAGCAAAAGCAATTTCTAATGTAGTTTCATTATACATTATTTTAGTAAGATTCCAACACTAACCTTCCCATTATAAAATTCTCAAGTCTGTTTACAACAAACATTACAAGGCATAAAAACATGTTATACCAAATTCAACTATACTGAAAGAAAGCAGCACTACTGAGCACAAACATTAAAAGCCACAGCTGTTAGTTAAAGAGCAAAGCTACAATGCTATACAGGATCACCAGGGAGTAAGATCCATTGGGTTTGGTAGAATCTCCCTCTCAGTTGGCAAGCACAGAATTATGCCAAGGAACTAGCACCTAAATAATCATGAGAACTTCAGACTAGCTTCCATACAGGAGAAATTCCAAAGCCCAGGTGCCACGACAGAAAAGGCACTCATTTCACATCGGAAGACTGAGACATCAAGAATAAGATTTCACAAAACTGTCTTAAATGTAGGCAGGTTCAAGTACAGTGGTGCCCCACATAGCGACGTTAATCTGTTCCAGGATTAACGTCACTATCCGGAAACATCGCTAAACGGAACAAAAACCCCCATAGGAACGCATTAAACGCTGTTTAATGTGTTCCTATGGGGCAAAAACTCACCGTTCAGCGAAGATCCTCTATAGGGGCGGCCATTTTCGCTGCCTCGGTAAGCGAGGAATCCGTCCAGAAAACAGCGGATGGCCATTTTGCCAGCTTCCCTGCTCCAGCCCCTCCCCCTCCCCGCCTTACAGCTGATGGGCGCTGCTCTTAGAGGCTTCCCCAGCTTAACAGGCAGTGGAAATGCACTGGGGAAGCCTCTGAAAGTGGCGCTTTGCCAGGGTGGGGGTGGGTGGGGGTGTGGTAGGGGCAGGCCCGCCCCCCCTCATGCCGCTTTTGGAAGCCTCCTGGGGCTTTTTTCAGCAGTGAAAATGCACCTCTGAAAGTGGCGCTTTGCCGTGGGGGGGCGCGGGGGGTTGACATCCACCGTGCTTGACAAAGCATGAAAGCAGATAAATGAAAAGGTAGTGTATGCAACCAATATAGTACTGCATGGTACGTCTCTCTAGGAAACTGCAGCAAAGGGGATGCAGATTAAATAATGTTCAAACAGCAAAAAGGACAATGTCTTTTGGACAGTTTACACAGAGTAAAACACAACTATCAACACAATCACAATATTCATAAAAAGGACAAATCAGTCAGCTAAGATGGTTTCAGAATATTTAAATAGTAGCACATTAACAACCAGCAACAAAATATAAATGGTAAAGCCCTTCATGAAAATAAAAACAAAGGACTCATGTCTACTGGAAGTGGAATGCCTTAACTTGGTGCCTAAGTGCTACTAGCAGGTATATCAATTGGACTTATTTGGGGGGGCACTATTTAAAAGGCATTCCTTTGATGGCTACCTGTTGCACCACTATGGACAGTAGTTTCCAAAGGAGATCCTCTGAACATGACCTTAATAATCAGACAGGGCAAATTATGAAATGATGTGTTCAAAACAATCAGTACCAGTAAACAGCCCTGCAGCTCAATTTCATGCTAACTGAAATTTCTTGACCATGTACAAAGGTGCTCCACATAGGCATTATAACCCAGCTAAGAGGTTAATAGTGCATAAATAATTGCAGCCAAGCTCTCTCTGCATAGGTGGTAGCCTACTTATCAGCCAAAGTTGATAAAATGAACTCCCTGCCAGTTCCAACTAATCTAAATTGTAATTTATAAAGAGCATCATTACAGAAGATGCTAAACTTGTTCTGTGGCAAAGCACGAACAAAGTATGGTTTATAATTCTGGCTTACTGAGAAAGAAACAAGCCAGATTTGTTGTCTTCACATTAAGCTGTAATTTCCTTTGCTTCTTCTAGCTATAGGAGGAGCCAATCAACTGAAACTGAACAAAAACAATAAGCCAGAATGCTTTTGAATTCTGGCTTATTGTAGGACCCAAAAACAACCCAGTCAGCCTCAATTGAAAGACTGCTCCATTGATTCATTTAAATTCCCTATAATGATCTATATGTCTGAATTGGGGACATTGCTCACATTTTCTCCCCAAACAAATGAAAAATAAAGTTCACTATTTATACGCAGTGTAATTTTAAAAAAAACCGTTTAGAATTTCTAGGTATTAACATCAAGATGAAATTTTTAATCCTCTGAAAAGTAAATTTATTTATTTATTTATTTATTCATTCATTCGATTTTTACCCCGCCCTTCTAGACAACGTCTACCCGGGGCAGCTTACAAAGATTAAAACACATTAAACAACGTATAAATAACGAGCATAGTGCAATTATTATAATTAATGCTATCCAAGTTGGCAAAATTAAAAACTAGAAGAAAAGGAAAGAAAAGAACTTAGGTGACTGGGGGGAAGGCCTGTTTGAATAACCAAGTTTTTAGTTGGCTTTTGAAAACACCCAGTGAGGGTGCCAGCCGAATTTCAGTGGGAAGTGTGTTCCACAGCCGAGGGGCCACCGCCGAGAAGGCCCAGTTTCTTGTTTTCTCCTTCCGGGCCTCCCTCGGCGTCAGTCCCCTCAGCCGTCCCTGCTGGCTATGTCAGGTGATTCGGGTAGATGGTAGATTATTAAAATTAGAAATGTACACAAATTCAAGCATATTCAGACGATGACAAAAAGCAAGCAGAAAATGAAAAACAACACTACAGCACTTTAAAGACTAACTGTGATATCTCACTGTGAAATTTCATGTCTGAAGAAGTAGAGGTAGCCACAAAAACCTCATTTTGAAATGTGACAGCCTTTAAGATGTCACAGTGTTTTTGTTTTTGTCCGGATATGCTTGCACAGATTACATGGAAATTTCTTGAAAATTACACAAGGTTTTCTTTGGCCTCTGTTGTAACTATTGCACCTTGAACAGTTCATTTTCTGGCTCCCACAGTTTTACAGTATACAAGCTGACCAAGAGGTGGAAAGAGCTCAGAAAACAACAGGTGGGAATATCCAGACCAGTCAGACTATCATGATGATGAGTTAAAATATACTACAGTATATTTGTACAATATTTGTCTGGATCAATCAAATAATACCTTCATACACTCTTTACCCACAGTTACAAGAAGATCAACACTTCCATAAGGACACAGGGTTTTTACAATACAGCACCAAGAAAGAAGGTTAAGCAATATTCCCTGAACAGCATAGTAAAAGCTGAAGAGCCACAGGAACCTAGGAATCTTGCTAAGATTTTGGAGCCATCTCTAGTACATGATCTTGTTTCCCCCCCATGACCTTCGGGATGATTCCAGGAAGCAGACAAGTAGAACATGAGCATAACTGCTTTCTTATACAATTTATTTGTTTGAAACTGATATTCTGTTGGATTCTAAAGTTGGATATAGCAATCATCATCTGTAGCCAATGACAGCTTCTGTAATTCCCTTTCAAAGTTGCCTCAGCTGTAGACGTTCACATCATGTCATACAAGTGAATTCCATACATTAGCTACATACTGTGTGAAGTTGTACTTTATATTCTAGATCTCCCCATCAATGGTCAGTATAGTTGTTGTTGTTTTTGGGGGGGTGGGTTTAAAAACATATTTTCATCTTGGATAGATAATATGAGCCAGAGATGTCTGAATTCTTCTGCTGGTTCTTATAAATCTGTGACCATTTCAAGTTCAATGTAATTTGTGAAATGGTGCTAAAGTTATCATCCCTTATCTACACTTACAAAGAAGTTGTGGTTAGCGTACCAATTACTGAAGAGGCGAATACAGGCTCAGTTTCCTTTTTGGCAAGACTTCAGCTATTCAGTAGCTTATGTACCTTACCTATTCAGTAACAGCACTCACTTGAAAAGAATAGTAAATGAAAACATTTGAATCAACTTCTCACTTTCTTCTAGGAGGTGGTATTTTGTTCCTGCAAAGGCCAGGTTAGGTCAAGAAGTCTTCCAAGCCTATAAATTTGGAACAGCAGTACATAAACTAGAGAAGACTAAAGGCCTATCAAGTGTTGCATTCTGCTCACAGAGGCCCACCAGCTGCTTATGGGAAACATGCCAGCAGGGCATGAGTGCAACAACACCCCTCTGGCTCATGCTCTCCAGCAACTGTTAGACAGGGACATGTTGCTTCTGGCACTTGATGGAATACATATCCATCATGATTTCTTGTCTGGTGAAAAAATGAACATAGGGATGCTTCAAAAGCAAGTGAAAACAAATTGCCTACAAATGATTCCTGCATAGCAGGCTCTAGATCCCCACATCTAGAATGGATATACAAAATTACATTTATTCCCTCCAAAGCACAATACTGTATGCTATATCAACCAGAATTCACTATCAACACCATGTTTATTCAAACATTCAGTCACTAGTACAGAAGAGCTATTTTACCTGAGCTGCAAGAATTATAGTAGAATAGGAGAGCATTCCTTTCAAATTCTTTTAAAGAAAGCTAATAGTGATTTAGGTAAGCCAGCATTAGTGTTACGCCAATGTGTTGGAAGTCCCTGCAAGCAATGGTCCTTCCTGGCTTACCACAAGGCCCAAGCTATGCAGGTGGATTTCAAGCTACAGATCTACCTGTGGTAGTATTAAACCTAGTTTCTTAAGGGTATACAAGAGAGGGGCATGTAACATGAACCTTCTCATACTACCTCAGCATAAGTGAAAACAAACTTTTCAAAAGCTTTTATTACCCACTGCATTCTCTCGTAAAGCAGTCTTCTAGGCCCAATTTCAATAACCTAAAGTAACATATTCCAAGACTTGAACCTAGATTATAAGGAATGATTGGGCTTTGCATGAATGAAAGCTGTCCGGCAGGGAGCAAATACAGTACTATTCTGACACCCCAAGAACATAGGACACTCACTGCCTTATATAGACAGTTGGGTCACTAACCTATCTACAGTGGTGCCTCGCAAGATGATTGCTTCGCATAACGACAAATTCGCTTTACGATGTTTTCTGAGCGATCTTGTGCTTCATTTAACAATGTTTCCTATGGGTGATTTTTGCTTTATGATGTTAGGGACCTTGCCTCGCAAGATGGTTAAATTTTAGGTCCCTGTTTTTCGCTTTACAATGTTTTTGACAGCTTGGTCTTGCTTCGCTATACGAGTCTTTTAATGGTCTCTGTCTCGTTAGACGGCTATTTTCACTTGGGAACCGCGTTTTGCTTAACGATGTTTCCTATGGCAATTTTCGCTTTATGATGACAATCCGCTCCCATTGGAGCGGATTATCAGGTTTTCATTGCATTTCAATGGGAAAACGAGGTACCACTGTACTTATCAATTAGCAGCAACTCCCTCCAGGTTCAAGAACTCTTCCCTAGCCTTAACCTGAACATGGCTATGTTGGTCTCCCATCCAAATGCCAACGAGGAAGACGCTAGTCCAAGCACCTGGAACCTACTCCTTTCGTGGAACACTCATGTTTCTGTCAGGCAGGAGAACAGGGCCATCAGAACCTCTTCCCTGGAGCTACCGTCCAGGAAAAGCTGGTGCCATTTTCTCCTCCCGCCAAGTCAAAACAGACCGAAAAGGTTAACTAAGCGTCGTGCCTCGGGGATTCTCAAGGACTTGCCAAGCCATTCGAACGAATACTTTATTACGGTCAAAGACCAGTAAAACCAAATCAATACAAAATAGATACATATAATTATAGTTTGGTAAAATCAGTCAGGGTAATAAAATTCCACTCCATTCCAAACAGAGGCTCCTGCAAGCTGTCATGAACCTGCCCATATATATACTGTATATACACTGTATAGCTATATAGATATCCTTGCCCACCCCCGCCGCAAAAGAAAGGTACCCCCGGGCCCGCGGGATCGCTGGGAAGCCCTTCTTCCCTACAGGCCCGCATCCCCTCCTCCCTTTTTTGCCCCCATCGCGAGATCTACTCTCCCCCTTTCCCACAGCGTCAATCCTGCGCTGCCCCCCCTCCCCGCTTTCTCTCACGCAACCAACCCAGGCCCGGGGGAGGAAGGGAGGGAGGCTCGACTCGAAGCTCGCCCAGCTCCCAACGGGCGGTGGGCACGACCGACCCGGCCCACTCGGGAGAGCTCACCTTCTGTATCCGCTTGAGCGCCATGGGGAGCCGGGGATGCGGGCGGGCGGGCCGGTGTGGGGAAGCTGTAAAGGGAGGGGGAAGGGAGGAGGAGGAGGAGGCGGCGAGGACCGCGTTGGCTGCTTGCTCCAGGAGGGGGCCGGGCTCTCGCGGGGCGTGTTAAGGCCGGAGCCCGAGGTGCCTCTCCGCTCCGAACCGAGGGGTCTTTTGTTTCCGCTACTAACAGGCTCCACGGCCCCGCCCACCTCTTCTTCTCCCACCGCCGCGTCCTCCGCCTCCCCAGTGCCGAGCGGCATTCTGGGAGACGTAGTTGCAGCTCGTCGGTCTGGCTGGCCTCCCGGCGCCCTCTGCAGGAGGGCTGAGGAGGCTGTGAAGAGAGCAGCAGGTGTTGGCGCTTCAGATATGTACTGTAGTACAGTGGTCCCCAGCCTTGGGCCTCCAGATGTTTTAAGACTTCAACTCCCAGGAATCCTGGCTAGCAGAGATGATGATGAAGGCTTCTTGGAGTTGTAGTCCAAGAACATCTGGAGGCCCAAGGTTGGGGACCACTGCTGTAGTGATTGGTGATCATCTGCCTTACATTTGGAACTATTTTCTGAGGACTGTGGCGCCCCACAAAAAAAGGGTGCTTCTCTACGGGGGTGTGTGTGAGAAATCTTCAAACTGGGCCGACTCTGCCATTAGACAGAATAAGGCAGCAGAGTTGGGGTATCATGGAAGGGCATCCAATATTTAATTTATCATTGTTATTAATGTATTACTAAATACTGTATATTATTGCTGAATTTTTGTAGTGCCAGGGAGAGTCAGTTGTGAGATTCCCTTCTCTCATTTGTCAAAATAATTCAGTCAGCCTTCAAGATACCACAGATCTTTAACACGGGAAGGAACAGGCTACGACACCATTTGCTCTTCTGGCCTCTGGCAATCAAATGTTTTGCACAGTGGCTCTGCCTTCAGAAGTTACACTTCCCCAATGGAGAGGTCCCTCAGTGCTTGAGTTGGCGGAGAGTGGAGGTACGTTAGGCCAGCTGGCTGCTAACTAGCTTTCTGCCTTCACAGGCATCCCTCATGACCCAAGTAGGCAACAGGTTGCCTGAAAAAGAATTTTTTAAAAAAGGAGATTGGGGCAAGTGATGTGTGCCTTCAAAAAAAAAAGCCCTTCTTCTGCCAAGACCAGTCAGACTGAGGAAGGAAGAGGAATTTAGGAGGGGTGGTGCCTGAGTATGTTTAGTGAGTGGTCATGAGACTTGGTCTTCACTGGGATGATTTAAAAGGCTTTGTCTGCTCCTTTAAAAAATTATTTTGTTGTGGTTGTTTTGCTTGAGATCATTACAACAAACTTCTGGCTTCCTCCAAGCCACCCTACCCAATGGTTGCCAACCTTTTTCTCAGAATTTGCCAACCTTACAGAATTTGCCAAAAACATTACTAGAAAGAGATGAAACATTCTTGCAAATAATCCTTGCCCTCCTAACTGGTCATTTCTCTGATCCTAGTCTATTAGAAAAGTCCCCTTAGAACTAATTAGTTATTCTACATCTATACTCATTCTTGATTAATCTTATCAGGTAACATAAGAAAAATAAAGACAAAAATTGTGGTATCTTAAAGACTTTTATTTTAATATGAGCTTTTGTGAATCAAATCCACCTCCTCAGACACTCTCAGAGTGAGAATACATGGCAATTTCTTAACACATCTGTGTGTGTTTAGTCGTGTAGTCGTGTCCGACTCTTCGTGACCCCATGCGAATACATGGCAATTTCTTAACACATTTGTACATAGTACCAAAATAAAGAAAAAGTGCTTGCTTGGTTAAGTAGACATAGGTTGCAAGTTGTGTGAGTCAATGTGGGATTTCACACCTGGCAAGAATTTCTACCCGATACTGACATCTTTTCCACTGTATTGTAAAAGGCAACAGGGGTGAGTGGGTGAAGGAACCATGCGCATAGAATAACAATCGCAGAAACAACATGATTGTTGTTAATTATTGTGAAGGAACTGTAGAGGAAAAGGAGAAATAACAGAGTGAGCTGTCCCCTCATCTAGAGATGCCTGAGTGGAAGAGAGCTATAGGAGCAAGAGAGATAATAGAAAGCAAGGAGTTGAATGTAGAGGAAGAGAAAGGAAGGGAATCAAAGGGAAAGGGGGAAAACATTGAGATCTGTCTGGTGGAAGAGAGAGAGGGAGAAGGAGAGGAGGGGCTAATTTTGCCCGTGTGGGAAGAGGATATAGGGGAGCAAAGTGAGAGGAGACAGTTCAGTGTACCAGTGACAGGAGAAAAGAAGGAAAGAGGAAAAAAGGTAGGGGAGATAAAAGAATTGGAGTATGTTAGCATGCTTCCCTGTTGGAAGGCTTCTCTAATCAAGAGGTAGGAGGATTGTTGCCTGATCCGGATGTGTCTAAAGGAAAAGGGACATTGGCAGATTCTTTAGAATGGGCGGTTGTAGTTTTTCTGTGGGGACAAGGTCACTCAAAGAGGGTGATCCTGCCAGACTCTTCCTTCAACCATCCACCACCGGAGGGAGACTGGGCCAGACACCCTTGCCGTGGGACAATATGCATGGTCCGCAGTGCTCCAATGAGGAAGCCCACCGATCGGGAACATTTTGGGCCAGTCCCTTAATGTATCCAGTCAGTTTCAAGACAGAATTGTCGTCCTCACAATATGGACAGTTACCTGATATTAGTTGTCTTGCACTAGTAGAAGTTGTTATAGATTCACCTAAAGTTAAACTGAATAAACCTGTTAACATTCAAAAAGAGACTCAGTTGTCATTTCCCGCCAAAAAAGAGGAATTGCTTCAGATCTTTAATGAACCCAATCACAATTACACGTGGTCAAAATTAAGGAGGCTGGCATTTCACACATGGTAATTACTTTTATATGGTTTTTCCAGTAGCAATGTATGGAAATGAGAGCTGGACCATGAAGAAGGCTGACTGCCAAAGAATTGATGCTTTTGAATGGTGGTGCTGAAGGAAACTCAAAGAGAACAAACCTATCCATTTTGAACGAAATCAACCCTGAGTGCTCACTGGAAGGACAGATCCTGAAGCTGAGGCTCTAATACTTTGGCCATCTTTTTAGTAGAGAAGACTCCCTGGAAAAGACATCATGTTGGGAAAGTGCAAAGGCAAGAGGAGAAAGGGATGACAGAGGACGAGATGGTTGGACAGTGTTATCGAAGCTACCAACATGAATTTGGCCAAACTCTGGGAGGCAATGGAAGACAGGAGGGCTTGTTGTGCTCTGGTCCATGGGGTCATGAAGAGTCGGACACGACTTAAAGACTAAACAACAAAACAAAAATGACTTTTATGTGTATTGCCATTGCTGATGTCAGATTTCTTTCCATTAATTCTTTTACACAAAGATTGTCTCATTTGTTTTAAGTTCAGTGCAGATGTGCATTGTTGACAAAAGATTGCATTAATAACATTAGAGAGGAGCAGATAAAATTAATCTTGAGATTGTCTGTGACATTGTTAGATCCATAAACATCTGCCCAGAGACTGTATTTAGGTCTTGGGGCTATTTTTTCACACACACCCCATGTTAAACTAAATGCAAAAATGGTGAAAATGACCTCTTGTAACCTCTAAGAAGAAGGGGGCATACTGTCATGTTTTCAAGAGCTGCCGCCGCCACCACTACTCTTGCGTTCTCCCATTCCCCTCCATATATATACAATATATATTTTTTTAAATAGCCACTACAACGAACAAGGGAGATTTTTCAACTGAACCCTATTTTTAAGATAAACCAATTTTTTCAGTTAATAGAAATTGATTGTAGCAAGTTTTACATTGATGTATCAATGTAAAATTAAACAATTTAAATATTTAAATTGGTCTCTTTGACCATCCATACCTCTCTTCATTTAGCTTTGCCACCTTGGGAGGCCAGTCCTAAGGCTGAAAAATGGTCCTCAGCCCTGCCGAGATTTCCCACTGCCTCCAATCTACTCTTTATTGTTTTTACTACTACGTACTATCAATGTTCCATTCAAGCTGTTTCTTTTTAACACTATCACTGTGATAGCTATCCAAGGAATTAACAGGTGGTATCTGCAGGTTTCTTTTTATGGAATGTGGCCTAAGATATAATTTGAATACATTTTATGATCCATACCAACATTCCACTGACCTTTCAGTCAATTAATAGTTAATTTAATAGAAGTTATATTATTTAAGTTATACTAGTCACTGTCTATACACTCAGCATCTACTTAAAAATTAGTTTCATTGAATTCTAGCCAATTTGCTTTGGCTTTATAGTTGCAATTAAGATTGCCTACAACATTCACAGTCTTTTAAATATTGGTCAAGGATTCTTAAGCCATCACCAAATGTAAAATATTACAATAAGCTTCAAATCTGTTGTTACTTTCCATAGCCTGGGTTCCTTCCCGGCTAAGGCTAACCACAACTAACCTTTACAGTACAAGCTTCAAATACAAAGACAGGGATTCTTGGGATTCTCAACATATTAGCATATGTGTAATGCCACAACAATTATGTTGCTCCTGCTGTTGTTATCTATAGCCAGGGATTCTGTTACCCATAAACCACTGTTGCTTTTTACAGAACGGAGGAAAATAATATCAAACTAGTCATTGCTAGGTGTGAAATACCACATTGAATCACGCCATTTATAACTTATTTCTACTAACCAACCACTGTCCCTTTATTTTGGGGTCATGTATAAACGTGTATATATTTACCATGTACTTTTATTCTTATGCCTGAGGAAAAGGACTTGATCCATGAAAGCTCACATTAAAATATAGCAGTTAGTCTTTAATGTGCCACAGTGTTTTTGTCCTCTTTATTTTTTTGTTTTGTTTTGTTTCTTGCCTGATATGCTTACATGAACTAACATGGCTACCAGTTAAAAACTTCCTGGAGTAAGCTATTATTCATATTAGAATGCTGGAAGTAGTTAAGCTTATATGCGTCATGTGTTTTTAAGGCATTATATTCATTTGTTCCCATATACCAAATTTTAAATCCACTGTTTTATAATACCTTAGTTTGTAAGAAAATCATACACCACTCATTTTCCAGAGTGAAATCATCCAATGTATTCATATTACCAGAAAGATCACGTTTTCCCCATCTGTTTCTTCTTTTTTCGTCCATTTATTGAAATATATCTTTAAATTGAAATTCTCACTAGTTTATTTAGAAAAATTATAACACATAGTCTGCACTTTCCTGTACACTGGACAAAAATGTATGTAGTGATACTGCAACACTTAAAGCAAACTTCTGACTCTTTTTTTCTAGAAGTACTTTCTAGTATTATTGTTCTGAGATTAGCTGTGTTTCAGCTTTTTAAAATAACTTGCTCTCTTGGGAATCCATCTGTTTTTCTACTGTTTCCAGTCATTTTATCCACTTTGCAGCCACACTCTTAGGCCTCAACATTTCCACTTCGTGCTCTAGTGTTAAATTAGTTTATGTAATATATATATTCTGTCTTGAAAATCTTATTCAATACAATGAAATTAGTTAGTGCAAATAGTTTTAAATCAATCATATATTAGTGTTGGATATAATATTTCACTCACTCTAGAATATAAGAGAAAAAAAAGAACATATATTTTTTCTGGTTTATTTATCTTAAATATACTGTGCAAACAAAATATGTGTGGATTTTCCCCTAAATGAAAAATATGAAATACTTTCTTGATCTTGTACATAATGGAGTACTCACTGAAGTCTGTCATCTATTACACATGTAGTTCAAAAGCCCAGTTTCAACTATTTCTGCATCTCTCTTTTCAAACAGTAATTTCATTAGAGATTTTTGCCTTTCTATCCTTTGCTTCTGTATTTATCTTTTGGTTTCTCTTCTGAGAAGACACAGTATTTAGTACTATACCTTTGTAGAAAGGTACTTCAGAAAGCAAAAATCTAGAACAAATGAAAACTGTGCAGCTCCTACTGGGATCAGCAGGATGACTGACCTGCTTTTAGTTCTGGTAATGCTTTTAGTTATCTGATAATGCGTTCTAGAACTGCTTCTCTCCATGCACCAGTTCTGTGAGCACTTCATTTCATACCATCAGGTGTTGAGGTAACTGGTTCCTTCAAGTGACGACAGTACTGTATACTGACAGATAGCATGGAAGGGGAACACTATTCTTGCTACCACCCTTTACTTAATACTTAATAATTAAGGTTGCTTGGCAGAGAGTGGCTGCAAGTCAGAACTTGTCTCTAAAAAGTTTTTTTTTTAATCTCCAAAATCAGGAAGGGAAGGGGGCCTTCTGGAGGTGTATGAGGTGCCAGTGTTTTTGTGCACTGCACTGAGGATACGTGATTTACTAACCAATTCGAGGAACTGAGATTATGATTAGAGGATTCAGATTCCAATTTAGTTTACATTTGTGGGTAACATTTTTAATTAGGTTAGGTATAGTACTTTTCAAATTTTTGAAAGGCTGTTATACAGAGGAGGGACAAGACGTCTTCTCAATCGTCCCAAAGTGCAGGACACACAACAACACAGAATACATTCAGACACAGAATACATCTCCAACCTTATAAAAAAATCCCCAACCCCAGGAATACTGGGGCTAGGCACACATTTCCACCGGTATGTACATATTGCATGTTGCACTGGCACTGAGTCTGGCACTAGTCACACACACACACACACACACACACACACACACACACACACACACACACACACACACATACATACATAGTGCAATATGTACATATCGGTGGAATAATAATATGTACACATTATACACTGATATGTACATATTGTGTGTTATACTGGCATTGTGAGTCTGTTATATTACGTCTAGTCATGGTGTTATGTGTATTTAGAAGTCTGACGGCCCATGGATAGAAGCTATTTTTCAGCCTATTTGTCCAGCTGGCTATGCTTCGTATATCTCTTGCCTAACGGTAGAAGTATGAAGAAGTAGTACCGGCATGAACGCTCCCCCACCCCGTGCGAAGGGGTGGGAGGGTGCTAGTGGGCATGCAGGCGCTCCTGCACATTTGCAAAAGGGTGGGGGAGCGCTCATGCCAGCACTGGCGCGCTCCCTCACCCTGTGCGAAGGGGTGGGAGGGTGCTGGCGGGCATGCAGGTGCTCCTGCACATTCGCAAAGGGGTGGGGGAGCGCTCATGCCAGCACTGGCACACGTGTGCATGCTCCCCCACCACTTTGTGCATGTGTCTAAGAGCGCGCACACATGTGCCCAAAAGCACACACACATGTGCAGGGGGTGCCCCATTTTCCTCAGAGGCTCAGCCGGTCCGTGGTCTCAAAAAGGACCCGTGGTGTAAAGGACCCAGCCCTTACTGTTTGTGGGCAGTCTATCAGGAAGTTTCTAATCCAGTCGCAGGTGAGGGGAGGAAAATTTAAGTCAGTCAGCTTCTCGAAGAGAATGCCTGGTAGAACTGTGTTGAAGGCTGAGCTGTAGTCTATAAAAAGCATCCTGACATAGTTCCCAGGTGTCTCAATGCCGTGTTTAGGGCTGTGGGTATGGCATCGCCTGTCGACCTGTTTGTAGGCAAATTGGTATTGCTCAAAATTTGATGGAAGGCATGACCTGAGGTGTTGGAGAACTGTTTTTTCAAAACACTTCATCACTACAGACATCAGTGTGATGGGTCTATAATCGTTCAGGCCATTTATGGCCATTTTCTTTGGAACCGGGATGATGGTGGCTGCTTTCAAACATGGTGGTATTCTCGCTGTTTGCAGGGAGATGTTGAAAATTCTTGGTAGGACCCCAGTTAGTTGGTCAGGGTGGGTTTTTATCATGTTCCCCAGCACTCTATCTGGACCTGCGGCTTCGTTAGGATTCATGACTTTCACTGCAGCTTTCACCTGATATTCATGCATAATGAGTGGCTGGAGGTTGGAGGGCCGGTGGGCTGGTGCTACAAGGTCAGGTATCTTCACCTTGTAGTGGGTGAAGATATTCAGCTCTTCCACCAGTGAGGCATCAATGTTGACTGTCTCCATCGTGTTGCCCTTGTAGTTGGTTAGGTGCTGCAGCCCCTGCCACACCTGCCTTGGGTTGTTGTCTGCTAGGTGGTTCTCCACCTTTTGTTTATATTCCTGTTTAGCTGCCTTGATACCTCTCCTTAAATTTGCTCTGGCTTCCCTGTATTTATCTTGTCACCTGCCTTGAAGGCAGAGTTCTGGGCTCTCACAAGTGACCATACCTCTGCTGACATCCACGATTTGCAATTGCCGAAAACTCTGATGCGCTTGTCCACTATAAGATAGTCTATGCAAGCTTTGATATATGAGAGTACTGTGTCAGCGTATTCTTGCAGTTCTAGATGTTAAAATATGCTCCATTCAGTGGTTTCAAAGCAGTCCTGCAGCTGGCTGAGTGCCCCCTCTGGCCAGATTTTGACAGTTTTCCTGTCAAAACCAGGAACCTTTTACCTGCTGTTGTCCTGAAAGGTGGAATTTCCCCAGAAGTAAGTGGCAAGCCTACCTACAACATACATGGAGACACTTTAGTAAAGATGAGGATGTCTCCGCATTTGTGGAAATTGCCCTTTCATCCATATATGATAAGCATAGGAGCCACCATCCAAAACACGTATCTGATGCTAGAAGACTTTATTATTAGTATAAGTTGCTTAGGTCTTGTTTTTCTGTGTGTGTTTATGCATATCTTTAGGACTGACCTTCTGGTTCCTTACAGAGGCTTTTAACAGCTATTCCTGCACAGTACTGTAGTTCTAGGTACAGTAAGTATTCTTAGGACACTGGGGCCTACCAGCCAGTCTGTGCTTTGTCGGAAGCAGGTTATCTTCAGTTTAGTAAGGCTTACTCCCCAGTAGGTGTTCCTTGAAGTGTGGAATGGGAGACAGCATAGAAAATAGAGAAGTTCTCCCCAGATGGGCTTGTTATGTCATCACGGTTTTGAAGTTTTATCCTATTTTTTAAATTTGTGACACAGGGATGATTCGGCTCCTTCAAAGACACTCAGGGGCTCCTATGTTGTTCCCGTTCCCTCATTTAATCCTGTGGTGACTTTAGGCTGGGAGATAGTGAAGGACACGAGTGGAGAACCTGAAACCCTGGTTTCACAAACCCAGTCTCCAGGTGTCTCTAAGTACTACACCACTCTGGTTTGAACACGGGCGTGGGGGGGGAGGGCTCATTATGAACCTCTTCACTGGAATGTAGCTACTGGGCCTCCCTAATTAACCCTGAAGCGTCTACTACCGTCTTATTAAGATACTCGAGGAGCCCTGGCCAGCAGAGGGCACCGCTCGTATCCGGGGCTCGCGTCCCTCCGTTCTTCCAAGCAGGGTCCCGGGTAGTCTTTGCATCGCCCCTTTAAGGGCCGAGGACAGCCCCTAAGCACCATATTGAAAGTGGTCGTACGCAAGCGCAGTTCTCTTCTTGGGGCTTTCCTTTGCCCCGCCTCCCACCTCCTTTCCTTAAGCAACAGAGAGCAGCCGTGCAGCGTGATCGAGGGGGACTGGAATCATGGGAGTCGGGTCGAACAGTTCTGTAAGGGGTAAGAGTTTGCGGGGGGGGGGAGAGGTTGTCGCCACTGTGCAAGGGGTGTGTGTAACGTGAGAATCCTCCTTACCTGTCGACCAGCGTTCCTTCCCCTTTCTTTGCTGGCTTGGCTAACTAATTATACTTGTTGCCCTTCAAGCGGCCTGCGTTGCCTTTCCTAACAAACCTGCACCAAGAGGGTCAGGAGAGCTGCCCCTTCCCTCCCGCCTTCATGCATACCGGTTTTTATTGATGTGGGGCTGTGGTTTGCGGGTGGAGTCTTGGCTCCATTGGAGGCTTCGCTTTAAGCCGGCATCGGTGACCTTCAGGAATTATTTTCCTTCCTTAGCGCTTGTCGTATCATGGAGTGCTTGTCCCTTCCACTCGTTAGCTCGGATCGTCATACAGATCAGGCGCTGCGCTGTCTGGTTCTCGTTTGCAGCTGGATGAACGTCCCGAGGCGGGCCGGCTTCTGCCTGCCTTGCCTCGTGTTTCCAGGGTTTGAGTAAACATATCAGGCAGGGTCGCACCTGTTTGCTTTTGGAGGACTTTTGGGCGGGCCGTGGTGTCACGCCTTAAAATCGCCTCCTTTCCTAACCATTGCCGGACTTCGTGGTTGGCCCTTGTTTCTGTGAGAACAAAGGAACTGGTGACTGCTGCCAGGGAGAAAACAACAGGGTTTTTTTTCCCCATTCTCGTTGTATAACCCGCACTTTCATACCTATTTAGAATTCTTTGGTTTGGTTTTGGAATTGGTGGGGGAAATTCGTTCTGCCTCTAAGCAGCTGATTTCCTTGGATCTTGTCAGCTGACCCCAGCTGCACCTCTTTAAGCCACTTTATTATACTTTTTTGAACATCCTGAGGTTTCCCTGTGATTAGCTGAAATAAAATAGGGCTCAGTCCTCCGCTAGTGTGGCTTCTTAAAGAATTAAGGTCAGGTATGGTTATGTTCAAAGTCTACTTTCTGAGCCAAGACCCTGCAGTAACTAGTTAGCCTAGAAATCCCCCATACTGCGGTGGTTTTTCTTTATCACCCGTCTCTCCCAGGGATGGTTTTTGATGTCTAGAGGCTTCCTTATCAGCTTTACTTACTTAGCGGCTGATACCTGGTTTTGGAGACCTGTTGTGAAGGCCAAAGATTTTCTCTGGTCTGGCTTTTTTTTAATTGATGCTGCTGTTTTTTCATAAATTTGACTGACTCTCACTGTCAGGTATGACACAGTTAAGTCTGTATTGTGAATGGGAAGCAAGAGGAAACTGATATCAGCACCAAATAAAGCAATATTCATGAGTTTCCCGTGCATCTTTTGGAGCAGGGCTAAGGAATCTGTGGCTCTACAAATCCTTTGGACCTCATATCCCAGAAGCCCAGTTCATGTAGCAAATAAATAATGAATAGTAAGGAATTATGGGAGTTGTAGTCAAAACATCTTGAGAGCCAGAGGCCCCCTGTGTTTATTGCAGCATTATGTGTATTGTTCTCATTGACAGGATCCGCTGTCCTCCCTTTATTTTTGTTAGGAATGGCTGGAAGCATTAAAATTATTAAAACATTCCTATCATCTGATGAGCTCAGACTTTCCACTATCTGGGATCCACTTCCATATTATATTTAATGCTGGAGTTATATACATGGTTTGGAAGTAAAGTCTTGCTGTGTTCCATGAACTGCTTCCGAATAGATATGCATGTTGTTGTTTAGTCGTTTAGTCTGTCCGACTCTTTGTGACCCCATGGACCAGAGCACGCCAGGCCCTCCTGTCTTTCACTGCCTCCCAGAGTTTGGTCAAATTCTTGTTGGTAACTTTGATGACACTGTCCAACCATCTCGTCCTCTGTCATCCCCTTCTCCCCTTGCCTTCACACTTTTCCAACATCGGGGTCTTTTCCAAGGAGTCTTCTCTTCTCATGAGATGATCAAAGTACTGGAGCTTCAGCTTCAGGATCTGTCCTTCCAGTGAACACTCAGGGTTGATTTCCTTCAAAATTTATAGGTTTGTTCTCCTTGCAGTCTCCTCCAGCACCACAATTCAAAAGCATAAATTCTTTGGCGGTCAGTCTTCATTAGGGTCCAGCTGTCCATATATCGCTACAGGAAAAACCATAGCCTTGACTATGTTGAGCTTTGTCGACAAGCCATCTATAGGCCAGATGGGCGGGGTATAAATCAAATAAATAAATAAAGATGTCTCTGCTTTTTAAGATGCTGTCTAGGTTTGTCATCACTTTCCTCCCAAGAAGCAGGTGTCTTTTAATTTCATGGCTGCTGTCCCCATCTGCAGTGATCACAGAGCCCAAGAAAGTAAAATCTGTCACTGCCTCCATATCTTCCCCTTCTGTTTGGCAGGAGGTGATGGGACCAGTGGCCATGATCTTAGTTTTTTTGATGTTGAGCTTCAGACCATTTTTTGTGCTCGCTTTCACTCTCATTAAGAGGTTATTTAATTCCGCCTCGTTTTCTGCCATCAAAGTGCTATTGTCTGCATATCTGAGATTGTTGATATTTCTTCCAGCAATCTTAATTCCAGTTTGGGATTCCTCCAGTCCGGCCTTTTCCATAATGTATTCTGCATAGAAGTTAAATAAGCAGGGAGACAATATATAGCCTTGTCATACTCCTTTCACAATTTTGAACCAATCAGTTGTTCCATATCCAGTCCTAACTGTTGCTTCCTGTCCCACATATAGATTTTTCAGGAGATAGATAAGGAGGTCAGGCACTCCCATTTCTTTAAGAACTTGCCATAGTTTGTTGTGGTCCACACAATCAAAGGCTTTTGCATAGCCAGTGAAGCAGAAATAGATGTTTTCTGGAACTCTCTGGCTTTCTCCATAATCCAGCACGTTAACAATTTGGTCTCTAGATCCTCTGCCCCTTCAAAATCCAGCTTGCACTTCTGGGAGTTCTCGGTCCACATACTATTGAAGCCTACTTGCTAGCGTGTAAAATGAGTGCAGTTGTACAGCAGTTGGAGCATTCTTTGGCACTGCCCTTCTTTGGGATTGGGATGTAGACTAATTTTTCCCAATCCTCTGGCCACTGCTGAGTTTTCCAAACTTGCTGAATATAAACAAAAGGCTAACAGGAACAGAGAAATAAATAGGCATAAGTAGGTTTTAATTGTAAGTATGAAGATCTACGTTATATCCTAAGTGTGGAGGAAAGAGTACAGATCATGGAATATATCTTAAGTAGAAAATGAGAACTTAACCTTCAATGGGGTGAACTTTGTTCTTGTTCTCAGTGTTGGGCTGTTGAAGAAAGCTATGACAGTTTCTCTATTTTCTCATTACAGTTGAATGGGTTGTAGCAGTCTCATGTGCAGCAGGAGCAGCAGCCATTGGGTATCTTGCTTACAAAAAGTTCTTCAGCAAGGACAAATGTTGTAGTGGTATGGTAAACCTCCATATTCAGAAGGATAATCCCAAGGTAGTTCATGCATTTGACATGGAAGATTTGGGGGAAAAAGCTGTGTATTGTCGATGTTGGAGGTCTAAGAAGGTAAGAGAAAGAAGTGGCCAAATTGTATGAATCTTCTTTTTCTTTTATGGATATATATGCTGTATCACTCAAAGGCAAGAGACTTGTTGCTTGTAATGAATTGAATACAGTGGTGCCTCGCATTACGGTGTTAATTCGTTCCAGTGAAATCGCTGTAGAACGAAAACATTGTAAAGCGAAATTAAAAAGCCCATAGAAATGCATTAAAACCCGATTAATGCGTTCCTATGGGCTTGAAACTCACCGTCCAGCGAAGATCATCCATAGGGCGGCCATTTTTGCCACCCATGCAACGAGGAATCCGTCCCAGAAAACAGCGGGTGGCCATTTTTTTTTACCCGGTGGCCATTTTGAAACCGCCGATCAGCTGTAGGAAAATCGTCGTTTTGCGCGAATCGGTTCCTGGAGCAGGGAACGATCATCGCAAAGTGAAATTCCCCCATAGGAAACATCATTTTGCGATCACAAAAACTTTGTCATTATGCGATTTCGTCGTAAAATGGTGCACTCGTCTTGCGAGGCACCACTGTATCTGAATAAGACATATGTATTGAAGGAATGTATTTAATTGATTTGGAAATGACTATCAAGATGTGTTTCCTTATTGGAGAATCATGTATATCTCCTTGTGGGACTGTGATCTAAAAGTAATTATATTAAAATTTTGTACATATTCCTTTTCCCTGCTTCTGAATTTCTAGCTGTCTCCCTCCCCAATGTTGTCATTTTCATCTTGTATCACAGAAGGACGTTTCCTCTAGGAAATCAAGTTTTTTGAATGTGAGAGGGAATTTCACAGTTGGATCACTGCAGTCACAGAAATGGTGGTCTTTGGGGTATTTATCTGCTTGAATTCGTAGATGACAATGCAGTAAAGAGTAGGAAAAAGCCTGCAAGTTAATAATGCCAATTTTTTCATACTGGTCTTCAGACAAATTCATTTTGTATTTGGAAGTATAGGATCAGTAGGCTGTCTGGATAGCTCAGTGAGTTAGGTATCTGGCTGTGGAATTGGAGGTCAGAAGTTCTTCTTAGGAGAAGAGCCAGCCTTTGTAACGTTAGCCAAACTGCACAGTCAGAGTGCTCCCAGAAGAAGGAAATGGTAAGTCCGTTCTAAGTACAGTATGTGTCCTGTAACCATGGTTTATTGCAGGGGTCTCCAAACGACAGTCTGCAGGCCACATCCTGCCTTTTTATCCAGCCGGGCAAACACCACAGGCTCGGGTCCAGTCCCTTCAGCCCATGCATCCATGCATCTTTTCCTTCGACCCTCAAAAATGTGTAAAACATATGATGTGGCCCTCATGCTGAAAAGTTTGGAGACCTCTGGTTTACTGCAACCTAATATACAACATACAAGGGTACTGTGACGTGGCAGGCCACTCTGATGTCACTGCCAACTCAGGTCTCTCAGAATGCCCACCACACCACTTCACACTCGCTGCCACCACTTGTAATGACTGTTTAAGAAGGACCAAGGTTTCCTTCAAAACAAAAACAGGTTTATTGAAATAACAAAATAAAATATGCAAATCACAATTAGCTAATCAAGATATCAATCACTGTATCTTATTTAATCAATCACAGACTTCCCTCACTGACCACTTAGGCACGCAGGCCTCTAAACAAGCTCTTTCTCTCTCACACACTCCTGATCTGATCTCTCACACTCTCTTCACCCCTTTTTCTTCCAGCTCCTCCCTCTTCAGCCCCACCTTCCGTCACCCCATTGGCTGATGATTCACTGCCCAGCTGTGACGGATAGGTGAGGTCAGGGCTGCCTGTTACAGGTGCCTCCTTGTGGCCTTTGTCCCACCCCTTTGTATGTTGTATATTGTATACAGGACTCCTTTGTACCCAAGGTGGATCATGGAACCAATGCCCTGTGGATATGGTGGTCCTCTTGTACTTTATTTTTAGAAAATTCTGTAAAGGGCCACTATACGTTGGAATTGAGTTGATGGCACATCGTCGTCATCATCATTGGATTGGCAGACGTTTCTTCTGCTGTACCAGCACTAAGATCATAATACCATTTGATGGTATGGTAAACTTTTAGCAGCCTCTGGTTCCCACAGCAGGCAGGCAGTTTCTTAGATGGATGTTTTGAAGAATTTCCTTGTACCTTCTTAGGTTTACTTTGATAACTGTTTTTTTCCTACCTCTACTGAAGGAAAATGTTCATTTAAAGCGTTTTACTATGATTTTCTTCCTGCAGTTCCCGTTGTGTGATGGCTCTCACACAAAACATAATGATGAAACAGGAGACAATGTGGGACCTCTGATCATCAAGAGGAAAGATGCTTAAAGAACAAAGATGAGAAAGAACATGAAAACAATCCCATCACAGTGCTTTCTGCTCACTTATAATTGGTGTGAAAATGAGTTCTTAAGTCATTTCACTGAAGACTTTAGATGTGGTATACAGTGCATTGCAGCACATGTAATTCATGTTGTTTGCCTTGCTTAACACACTACAGAATATATGTTATGAATAAATACTCATGATTTGCTGGGTTGTTTTGTCATGTAAAGTGTATCTTCTCATAAATGTTAAAAAACCAACAATACTTTTGAATGTACTCTGAAGTATGTATTAGAATGATACATTAAATTATTTTCAAATATACAATATTCTTGTAATTTCTGTTTGCTATTTAGAATCATAGGCACTATGAGGACGAAATCATCTTGGTTACTCTTGAGTATGACTCCATTCAGTATTGCTAGGGAGTTCTAGGAATAGGACTGGATAAATTGTTCATCAGTTTAAAGCAGTTACTGAAAGATGCCTCAGTGTTTAGAAGAATTTAGTAATGTGTCTAATATTCACTACTCTTGATTAGCTAACTAAGATTTCTTAACCTAATTTGACACCCTCCCTAAGGAGCAATGAAAACACATCTAAATGCATGTGAAGTATTTTTGTAATCCACTGGGTTCGCTGTACTAGTTTTCCAATAAATTTAAGTGGTCTGATTTTGTTTTTTGAAATATAATATGGAACAGCTACCTGCCTTGTTCAGAATCAAATTTCAGGACACAGTCAGTGATGCATAGCTGTTCCTGAAGCCATACATAATCTATGTCCTCAACATGGTCAGGAACTTGCTCCTTGAGCATCATAGTTGTTGTACTCAAAATTATTTTCTTGTTTTTTCTGTACTCAAAATGTAGCTTTATTTTCACAAATGTGTAAAGAGTAGAGAACTAGTATTTCAAAATGTGCACATGGTGTATGTTGGCTCTCCTTCACAGTTTCTTATATTAAAGATACAACAATCATGATTCTTAAGTTGCCAAAGCTGGCCCTAACACAAGGCAAAGGAAGGCACCTTTCTTGGGGTTTCTTTTTTCCAAATGAGTCCTGTTTGTATTCGAGGATACTGTACTTGGGAAGGGGGCAATGCATAGCATTTAACAACTAAATATTTTAGGTAATTTTTTTAAGTCACTGGAATCCTTTGAAGAGCCTGGCTTTTGATCTCTCATTACAAACAAGGTTGTTTGAGAGAGATCAAGTGAAGCCTGTTTTGAGGACAGAGGGTAACCAAAAAGTTTGCTCTGCTAAGGAGCAAATATTGGACCTTATCATCCCAAAATCCATTTGAATAATTAGTTGGACTTCATGGTTGGATTTAGGTTTGGTAGTTCACTGAGTTGGTTCTGTTTCCCATAGTGCTTCTGGGGAGAAAAGACAGCCTCTGGCTTGGACAAGGTGCAGAATTCCAGACAGCCTCCAGAAGAAGGGACTGGTAAACCACTTTTCAGCACTTTTTTAGAAGAAAGGTGGAGTGCAAATATTTTAAGTTTTTTTATTATTTATTTATTTCTAAAGAATGAAAAGACAATCGAACATTTTACAAATATTAAATACAAAACTATTCCCCACTTTTCTCCAAATCACATATATATACCTTTACCCATCCCCTTTAAAAAAAAAAAAGACCAACAATCTAAGTCTCTTTTCAAACCACATGTCTCCATTTTATCGGCATATTTTAATAATGGCTTCCAGTTTTCCGTGAATTTACTATGGCTTATTTCGCCTCTATGTACTCTAAGTTTATTCATCATTTTTTCCATCAACAATGTATGCCATATTTTACTTGTGAATGCTTGCAGTGAGAGATCTTGGGCTTTTTCCCAATTTTTAGCTATTTCAGATCTTGCGGTGCCTATGAGATTTGCAATTAATTCTTTATATTGAGTGCAAATATTTTAAGTAATAAATAAAATTTCTGATTTTTTCCATTAAGGGAGCTAACAAGCTGGTTCTGAACAAAATCAAAGTTCCATTGAAGATCTTCCTTGGTTAGACATTGAAACTCCAGTTGTGTGGCAAATGTCACCTTCTGGCTTTACTGAGAAGTTAGAGGGCAAAGCATAAGATGTCTTGCGTATCAGGCAGAGCCTGTAGAACTTGAAAACAAATGAAGTATTAATAGGTTTGACTGCAGTCCACTACACTAGAAGTAAGACCTACTAAACTAAATGAGATTTGCACCTGAATACATATATGTAGGGTTGCATTCTTGATGGACTTTCTGTGGCCTTAAATGGACATAGTACATTTTTAATATCTTCAAGTATGTGGCATTCCAGACTAAATACAAATGTTTGCTTGCTTGATTGATTGATTGATTTTTTTATATATATATAAAAATTTTATATATACACACACACACACACACACACACACACACATACATACATACATACATACATACATACATACATACCGTGCATCTATCAGCCAAGGCCACTCTGAGAAGTTTATAACAAAAAACAACAGAGTAACAAAATAGCAAATCAAAAATCATAAAGTGAAGTGAAGATAAAATTATAATACAATAAATGCAATTAAAATAAAAACATGGAGCATGGAAGTATGATAGACATTATATTATTGGATACTATTGTATCAGAGTATAGTTTATTCAGGGAAGGCCTGTCTAAATAGCCAGGTTTTTAGTAGCTTTTTGAATGTGCTCAGAGAAGGGGCCAGGCAAACTGCAAGCGGAATGATAGCTGTTCAGGGCACCCACATGTTTTTCCATTTTGATTTCCTGTGTCACTATAAATATGCTCAAGAATAATGATGATGCTGCAGTTCATACCTGAGGCTTTCAGGCTTTGTCCGAGGTCTCTGTTTTGGTCACACAAAGTAGCTTTAGAGTTCTGGTCTTCGCATGGTTCTGTTATTTCATGTCAGAAGGTACAAGAGTGGTGGTATTTGAAGATGTGTTCTGTCTATATAGCTGACAACCAGAATTCATAGTCCTTTCTGAAGAGGCAGTATTATGGCTGAAATCCTGTTGCTTGGCATAGTAAGTTGCACTAGAGTAGTCCAATTGACTCAGTGGGTGATTTGGTGAGTTGACTCTTCAGTAAATTCCATTGATTTGAATGAGCCTACTGTGACTTACTACTGTATGTTAAAATAAGTTGCAACTAGAGTAGACCTATTTGAATCAATGGAACTTACTGAAGAATTGACTCACCAAATTCCCACTGATTGATTGGACCTATTCTAGTACAACTAACTGTGCTAAGCGACAACATTTCAGCCTATAAAATATTTCTGGCATGTTCCCCTCCACTAATAGCTAATGCAGTGGTGTGCCAGATACATGTGTTTAAGCAGTTCCAGTTTTGTGCCAGCTAATTCACATACAGAGAACATAATGAGTTTAAATAAACACTTCCAAACTGAAAGCTCTGCTCATAGGTGCAGTTGATTTCAATCAACTGCACACAAACTACCATAATCAACTAATAAATGTGTTAGAGAAACAAGTGGAATAAAAGAAGGATACTGGAAGTAAAGGATTTGAACATGTTAAGAGTTTCTTCTGAAAAGGAACTCATGGTTGTGCTTGTCTGACAGAAAGCATTGGGGATTTTTTCAGTGGTTAAAGGTAAGTGAGATATTTTTAAAATGATTTTACCAGTGCCCCCCCCATCAGTTTCCATGGCCAAGTGGGTATTTGAAACGTGGTCTCCAGAGTCCTAGTCTGTCACTCTTCTCTATTACACCATACTAGGTAATTAAGATTTATACTCAGCATCAAACAAAAATCTGAACTGTACTTGGAATCAGTCTTATAGCTGAAATCAAACTTTTAAGAAGACTGGACATTTATTTTGATGCAAATTAAGTTTTTCCTTAGCCGTAAGCCTTTGCCAGGGTGTTCATCTCCAATATACAGTAGAACTACATAGATGTCATGCAGTTTTTGGTTGCTAGTGTTGCCACCTTGAGTTAAGTGTACCAAGTGGCATAATTAAATTTTCTTAAAATAGGTCCTGCTACTCTGTAGACAAATAATTGCAGTTGGTCATATTGTTTGGCAGAAGCCAGGGTTTCAGGTAGACAGCAACATTTATTCTTGTTTGCCCTTGTTAAGTGAAATTTATTTTCTGTTTCAGAAGCATGATTGTTTGGATGCCACATTTCTTTATTGTGTCCCAAACATTTCACACATTTTTAATTTAAAAAATAGATGCAGTCAAAAGAAGGTAGGGTTGAAAGATCCATAGGAAGGCAGTGGAAACAATGTACCAAACTGAATACCTCCTTTTCTTGGGGGTGAGGGGCAGGGATGGTGAAAGAGCAGTAAGACCTGCATGAGATCGCATGGGGGCGGGAACACTCTTCAAAGGCCTCAGTTCCTGTCAAGTGTACTAAAGAATAGTGATAATAATGATAATCATTGGTCATCAAGTTGATTGTGGCTTATGGTGACCCTTTTTGGGGTTTTCTACGTGGGGAGTTCCCCTTCACGGATTACTATCTTGTTGTGACAAAGGGGCTTGAGTAATTCAGAGAAGCTATGGGCTATGCCGTTCAGGGATACCCAAGACGGACAGGTCATAGTGGAGAGTTCTGACTAAACGCGATCCACCTGGAGCAGGAACTGGCAAGCCACTCCAGTATCTTTGCCAAGAAAACTCCATGGACAGAAACAAAAGGCTAAAAGATATGACGCTTGAAGATTAGCCCCTCAGGTTGGAAGGCATCCAACATGCTACTGAGGAAGAGCAGAGGACAAGGACAAGTAGCTCCGGAGCTAATGAAGTGGTTGGGCCAAAGCCAAAAGGATGCTCAGCTGCAGACACACCTGGAAGTGAAAGGAAAATCCGATGCTGCAAAGAAAAATACTTTATAGGAACCTGGAATGTAAGATCTAAGAATGTAAGAATGTAAGCTGGATGTGGTCAAACAGGAGATGGCAACAATAAACATTGACATCCTGGACGTCAGTGAACTAAAATGGACAGGATTGTGCGAATTCAACTCAGATTATTATATCTACTACTATGGGCAAGAACCCCATAGAAGAAATGGACTAGATCTCATGGTCAAGAAAAGAGTGGGAAAAGTTGTACTGGAATACAATCTCAAAAATGATAGAATGATTTCAATACGAATCCAAGGCAGACCTTTCAACATTACAGTAATCCAAGTTTATGCACCGACCACCGATGCTGAAGAGCCTGAAATTGACCAATTCTATGAAGACTTACAACACCTTCTAGAACTGACACCAAAGAAAGGTGTTCTCATTAGAGGAGACTGGAATGCTTCAGCAGTATGTGGACCGAGAACTCCCGGAAGTGCAAGCTGGATTTTGAAGGGGCAGAGGATCTAGAGACCAAATTGTTAACGTGCTGGATTATGGAGAAAGCCAGATAATTCCAGAAAAACATCTATTTCTGCTTCATTGACTACACAAAAGCCTTTGACAGTGTGGACCACAACAACCTATGGCAAGTTCTTAAAGAAATGGGAGTGCCTGACCACCTTATCTATCTTCTGAGAAATCTGTATGTGGGACAGGAAGCAACAGTTAGAACTGGATATGGAACAACTGATTGGTTCAAAATTGGGGAAGAAGTACAACAAGGCTGTATATTGTCTCCCTGCTCATTTACCTCATATGCAGAATATATCATGTGAAAGGCTGGACTGGAGGAATCCCAAGCCAGAATTAAGATTGTCAGAACAAATACCAAGAACCTCAGATATGCAGAGGATACCACTCTGATGCAGAAAGTGAGGAGGAATTAAAGAACCTCAATGAGGATGAGAGTGCCAAAAATGGTCTGAAGCGCAACACCAAAAAACCAAGATCATGGCCACTGGTCCCATCACCTCCTGCCAAACAGAAGGGGAAGATATGGAGGCAGTGACAGATTTTACCTCCTCGGGCTCCATGATCACTGCAGATGGGGACAGCAGCCATGAAATTAAAAGACACCTGCTTCTTGGGAGGAAAGCAATGACAAACCTAGACAGCATCTTAAAAAGCAGAGACCTCACCTTGCTGACAAAGGTCCACATAAAGCTGTTTTTTCCAGTAGTGATGTATGGAAGTAAGTGCTGGACCATAAGGAAGACTGACTGCCAAAGAATTGATGCTTTTAAATTGTATTGCTGGATGAGGCTCCTGACAGTCCCCTGGACTGCAAGGAGAACAAACCTATAAATTTTGAAGGAAATCAACCCTGAGTGTTCACTGGAAGGACAGATCCTGATGCTGAGGCTCCAATACTCCATCTCATGAGAAGACTCCTTGGAAAGGACTCTGATTTTGGAAAAGTGTGAAGGCAAGAAGAGAAGGGGACAATAGAGGACGAGATGGTTGGACAGTGTCACTGAAACTACCAACATGAATTTGACCAAACTCTGGGAGGCAGTGAAAGACAGGAGGGCCTGGTGTGCTCTGGTCCATGGGGTCAGGAAGTCAGACACGACGTAACAACTAAACAACAACAACACATGGAGAGTATCATTCCCTTGTTTTGAGGGAGCCCTGGGATTGTGCAGCTTGCCCAAGGCTACACATGCAGATAGAACAGCTTCATAAAGATTGGGTTCCCAAGCCATTTATATATTTAAAGCATTTTTATTCTGCTCCTCAGCCAAGGCAGATTCCCTGAGTGGTTTACAAACCAGTAAGCTCCTGCTCTTCAGTTTACACTCAGCAATTTTTGGTGATAGAACAGCTTGTCCAACTTATTCTCTTCCCCGTTATTATTTATACGGGGATTCGACTTCAGGACCTGAGCTCTATGCAAAATGTCACCCCTGTAACGTGAACACTGAGCATATGCAGAGTGCTTTCTTTTCAACCCGTCCTCTCAAGATACTTGGAGTTACGCTGGAGGAGAAACTGTTACTAAGAGGCAGGGCAGATTAGCCTCCATCCCTGGCATTTCCAGTGGAGGAACCACTGTCCCTTTCCCCCTCACTCGTGGGCAGGCTGTGTTGGCAGCCGTCCAACCGTTCAGAAAAAAGCAGGGCAAACTGAGGCGGGATTGCTCGAGCCGCGGCTACTGCGCAAGCGCCCTTTGCCACGCGCCTGCTCAGTAGCGGCGAGGCGGGGAGGGGGTCCGGTTGCCTCCTACCCAGTTGCCGCTTCGTCAGTCGAGCTACTCCTGAGGCGTCGGAGGGTGTTGCTCGGCGTCCGCCCCGTGAGGGAGCGCGACGGAGAGAGGGGCGCGCTCGCTATGGA